TCCAAACTGTTAGCTTGAGGCAGTGGATGTCCAAATGACTGTGGCAAGAGAGTGGCAAGCAAATGACTGTGGCAAGCGAGAAGGTTGTGGCAGAGTGGAAGTTGCCACCAGTCACTGGACATCAGGAGTAAAGTTGCGAGCCATGGCTGCCTGGGCATAGGATAACATCAGATCTGTCCTGTAGTATTTTGACAATGGTGCCCTAAATTAACAATAATGGTGGGAACATATAAAGTAGACTGGGTGTCCAAGAGATAGTGAAGGTGTCATGTAACGCCTCTCTACACTGGCTTGAGAGCAATACATCTGGCACTTCTTGTTGACAGTGGAGGCAAAACATCAATATGAAGCTGTCCCCAACAGACACTGAGATAGTTCCCAGCCAGTAGTGCTGGCATAGGTGACTATCATGAGGCTGGGTTGAAATTAACAGAATTGTTAATTTCAATTCTGTGATGCTTGCTGGTCCACCATAGAAGCTGACCCCTGAGGTGGTGAGGCAAGACAAGCTTCTTGGATTGTGAATCTGTCTGATTGTTGTAATTCTGGAGGTAGTAGAGTTGAACTAGTCTCATACAAAGCCTGGCATGTGAAACCACAGCAGTGGTTAAGGCCATTAGCCCCAACAGCCTCTGGATAGAGAGTACTATGGACCCTGACAGAGTGGCAATCCACATGGCATGAGTGGTAAGTGTAAGTACTCTGTCTTGGGGAAGGTATGCATGAACAGTCTGTGAATCCAGGACAGAACCTATATAGTGGATTACCTGAGAGGGAACTAATTGTGACTTTTCTATGTTGATGTTTAGGACCATGTCTGACAGCATCCAGAGAGTGAATTGTAGATTGTGGAGTAGGATCTCCCAAGTACGAGCTGCCAACAGCCAGTCGTCGAGGTAAGGAAAGATAGTGATCCTTTGTGTCCTCAGGTTGGCTGCTACTGGTGCTACACATTTTGCAAACACCCTCGGAGCAGCTGAGAAGCTGAATAGAAGGACCTAGAACTGATAGATGTGATGGCCTATGATGAAGCATAGGAAGCGCTGGCGGTGGTCTTGAATGGAGATATGAAAATACTCATCCTTTAAGTCTATGGCCACAAACCAGTCCCTTGTGCTCAGGAGGCGTAACATGGTTTTGAAAATCATATGGAATTCTATGGCTTAGCCATGGGCAATGATGTCCAGTACCCAAGTGTCGGTGGCAATGTTGTGTCAATTATGCAGGTATGGAGCTAGTGGTGAAGATATCCAGGTAGGGTGGAACACTGTCGGTCTCAGAGGGGGAAGAGTCAAAGATACTGTTTAAGCTTTCGGTCTTGCTTCTTTAGTGGTTGTTTGCATTTGCTGTTTCTGGAGTAGATGGTGTAAGCTTGTGGCAGACGTTGCTGCTGAAACCTTGGTTTGTCCACTGGTGGAAGGCAACAGTGTGTGTGATAAGTTTGTTTCCACTGGGGCTTGTATTGTTGCAAAGGCTGTGGCAAGTTGAAGCCGAGGCATTCAGCCGTAATCTTCTACTTATGGAGGTCATGCATGACATCATCTGTGGTGGTGTGGAAGAAACTATGTCCATCAAAGTGCAGGTCCTCAAAGACCTGAAGTCTTCAGACATGCCCACTGATCTCAGCCATGCATGACAAAGAGATACAGCTGTTGCCATGCTCTTGGCCATGCAATTCACAGAGTGAATCTGGAGGCTGGTCAATGTGTAAGCCTCCTGCTGGAAGGAAACAGCTAAAGTCTGTTTATTTTCAGGCAAGAGTGCTATGAGAGGGTGAAAATGTTCCCAGATGAATTGGTGATATGCCTCCATCATGGCCTGATAACTGGAAATTCTCATGTGTAATGAAGCCGAGGAACAAATCTTATGCCCCAGCAGGTTCTGTTTCCTCCTTTCCTTATTGACAGGTGTAATTTGTGGCTTGCCACAGTGTTTTGAGTGGTTTCCACTCTAACAAAATTTAGTGTAGGGTGTCTGAACAGGAAATCTGCACCATCCTCTTGAACCCTGTAAAACTTCTCGATTCTCTTTGAAGTTGGTGGGACGGTGGACGATTTCTTCCAAGATTGAGTAATGAGATCTATGGGTGTCTGCAACATTGGGATATTGGAATATTGGCATCCCTCTGGACTCTAGTGAATATAGAATCCTTCGCAGAAGAAGCAAGTTTAATAACCTGAAGCTATAAGGATTTAGTTATCCTCTCCATGAGGTTGCTATAGGATGCAAAGTCCTCCATCGGAGACATCTCCATCCTGAACTGCAGTCAGTGGGGGATAAAGGAGGTACCTCGGAGTCATATGCCATGTTACTATCGGTGTCAGAGGAAGATTGTGTATGTCTGGAGTGGACATTGTCTGGAGCTATCCCAAAATGGAGGTAAGTAGAAAAGTAGGGTTTGGAGGTGGTAGCTGGATGGTACTGAGAGGGGCTCAATGAGCATGTTGAGAAGGTAGGTGGAGATGCTTTTGTTTACACTTGCAAGGCTGATGTTTAGGATCGTGATGAGAAGGGGACTCAGTGTGTCAAGGTGGTGATCGTGATGCCAATCTTGGGCGCACTGCAGTAGCAGAAGCAAGGGTTGCTGTAGCTTGACAGTATCGAAGCCATGGAGGTGGACTTGCACAGTCTTGATATTGAGGAGAGAGTGCAGGCAAGCAATATCATCTGTACCTATAATGGGACAAAAACTGGTCCGTTTGTATAGAAGGAGGGCAAAAGAATGGAGCACAAAGTGCCTAAGGTCCGGTGATGGAGAGTGATACCAAGACCAATGTTTAGAGGACCATGATTGAGAATTAGAATATCTCAAAACCAATGGTCTGAGGCCATAACGCCCTGGGTCTTGAGAAACAAAGTAGCCTTGACGTGGAAAAACTGAAAACCCATGCTGAAAGGGAGGTATGTCTCCCAACAGCGAAGAGATAACATTGATTTCACACTGGATTGGGAGCTCGATCAGGCTGTGGTGGGCTTCAAGGGGGGAATTTGAGAGGGTGAACCCAATGATTGAGGACCCTGTGCATCCTTCCCAGCATCAGGGAGTTGGGGAGAGCACCAATGCCGTGGTGATGATCTCCAAGTCACTGGCCAAGGGGACAATAACGACATGTTGCATATCAAGGCGCTGGGCAGTTCTCCCTCCAACACAGAGCCCAAAATGATAGGGCCAGGCTATCATTCAAGCAACTCCACCGTGTGGAGTGTGGGAATGAGCACTTTTGCCATGTCGTGGGGGAGGGCAAAGAGGCTTTTCATGGTTGGTTTCAGGGAGTTTCCTCTGTTTCTTACATGGCAAATCAGTCACCGATTTTGGAGGTTTCGATTTCAAGGGAGCTTTGGACGTGGAAGGCCAAACAGCCATCTCAGATGGGGGAGGAAGCTGTTTTTCCAACCCTGCCATCAGGATTTTTGTGGAGTTGCTGATAATGAGGCAGATCACAGCCTGGATTGCCTGTTTTTTAAGGGTCAATTTGATAAAACCTCTGCAAATTGAGTAGGACTGGATGAAATGCTCCTCACCCAGACAAAATAAAAACCAAGTATGACTGTCTGACCGTGGAATTTTGGAGTTGCAGCCAGTGCAAAGTTTCATCAAAGCTGAAGAGTCTATAAAAGTCAATAACCCCAGAGAGGAGAGGAAAAGAAAAGGAAGGGGCAGGGAGGTAAAGGGGAATGTGAAAGAAGTAAACAAAAATAAAAATCTAAGAACTTACTTTTCCCGTCCCCACTTCTTTAACAGCTATCAAGAGAGAACACAAGGAAAGAAAAAGGAAACTACCATTTGTAGAAAGGCTCTGGAGCAAAGCGAGACATCTTTCTCCCACAATAGAGAGAAAGGGACTGAGGAGCAGAGGCGGGGCTTACGTTATATACAGTACTCTGCAAACACAAGGCTAAAGCTCTGGAACATTCTGGAGGATTGTCTGAGCAGGCGCAGAACACCCATTGTGTAAATGCATAGGGGCCATGAAGAAAAGCAATACCTTTTTATAGCATATTCTGTTACACAATGGGAAAAAAAATCTTATTTAACCAATGACAAAAATAGTAAAAATAATTTTAATTCAACTGAATTAATTATATTTATTAGGGATTTTGTTAATAAGAAGAAAAATGAACGTAGACCCTAAAGTCAATTAGCACTAAGCTTTTTAAAATATATATCTTGCACATAGTCTACACTCTTCCTCACATTTAGACCTTTGAATGTGTGAGTGAGAATACAAAGTAACAGGATGAGCCTTATATCTGATCACGTTAAGATTAAGGCTTTTACTGAATGCCTCAATAGAGCTATGATAAGATTTAAATCTAAACTGTTGTTAATTTTTATGCTGCAACCAGACCAACAAATTTGTTAGAAATTAATATGATCTGAAACCACTTTGAACACAACATTTTCCTTGGAAACAGCCCATGCACTTGGTGACCAATAATCAAACACTGCATAATCAAGTGGTGCATGTTGATCCATGAAACAGACAGGAGCTATTATTCACCTACTAGATGAGTAAATATAATTCTGTTAACTTCTCCAGCAAGAAAAAAAAATTACATAAAATAACAATAAAGAACTGTATTTATCAGCAAGTACGGAATAAATATAATTAGATCATTGAAAATACTGAATGGAGTAAATAAAGTATCTTGAAGTTTCATGTAGGACATACTTCAAATGATGAATCTAGATCTTTGTCAGGAAATAAATTCATGTGGTGGAATATAACTAACTAACTTCTTGTAAGAGAAATGTCCATCAGGAAAACTGGAAGGATATGAGGATTTTCAGTACTCTCTCCCTTTTCGCCCTCCTTAAATTTGGTGTAGAAGGCCTGTCAATTCTCCAGAGCAGACAAGGAGGATGATATAAAAGTCTTCATAGGGTAGAAAGAATTCCAATTCCACTGAAGGGAGACTTTGTTCGGCAGAAGGAAAGTAGATGGACTCTGCCCCTACCCATTAACTAAAAAATATTTCAAAATGTGGTGTCTACTTACTGCTATTTCTCTACATGCTGACATGGATATCCCTGTTCCTTCAATCTGCTTCAGTGCATATTCCTTTTCATCTTTTCTGCAAAAAGAAAATAGTGGATTATACAGGTCTTACTTACATTTGTGAAGTATAGAAATATACAGATAAATTTCTGGTCCTTTGAAAACTGAATAATTTATAGTGTCATTACAGGCAATACTTGAACTTATAATGATCTGTCCACTTCACTTTTCTCAGCTGATTGCCGTTTTCAATACCTAGTTTTTATCTTGAGTTTAAAAAAAATGTGCAATACTGTAATCTAGTGGAAATACCCGATTTTGAAATTACTATATTTCCACGTGCCTCCATTCTTCATTAAATGGGAGCCCTGTATTTGATGCAGGTCAATGGCAGGGAGGGATAATGAATGACTGGTAAGCATTTGTCTAACAAGATCAGGAGACAATCTATAGGACCAGAGGTGAAACCTGACATTTATACCTCTGACCTGAGTCTACAGCCCCAATTGAAACCAGCCTTTAACAAAAGAGTGCATCTGCAAATCTGGTCATGATTTCTGGAACGTCCATGTTTCTTCTGTCCCATCCACAAATTGGAGGTGCCCATCCTAAGACCACGACAGATTGAAAAGCTATGTTTATGGGTGCCCCTCACCCTTGCCTTTAGATTGTGTACAAGAACCATATGACCTGTCTCTGTTTCTGTTTCTAAAAGTCAAGCCTAATATGAGGCTGGTTGATGAAGACTCATATTTCAAAGAAATACTCAGAATGGAACCCTGAATCAACCACAGATTTATTTTAAAAAACCAAGACTTAAGCAGTCCAACTACAATGACAAAGTTTAATAAGAAAACAAATGAAAATACATATTATCCAAGGACGTACTAGAAAAAATAAGCTAGTTGCATCCAAACAATTAATTTATTAAATGTTTTCTCTGCCTTTCTGCAAACAAATGGCACTTCAGGTGGCCCTAGTCCAGTGACAGGTTCCGTCAAGTACTAAAGAAACTGGGAAATTGACTGAATCTCATTCTGGAGACTGAACAGGAACTAGAAGGCTACTAGTATACAATGTTAAGCTTGAACTGCCCAGAATTTTAGTGCGCCTGATAGTTGGTGCTAAGTAGATGATGTAATGGCCTGGGAAACAAATCCAGAAAAAAAAATCACACTTTCCCCCCTTTCATTCCATTCTGAAAACTAAGATTCAAAACAACTTGTATTTGTTTCCGAACAATAAGAGAAAAGCTTTCTGTAAGTAATGTCTTAAAACAATACTGCTAATTACACTGTTTAGATTCAGGTTCAGCTGTGGACGTCTCTAATTAAATCCTGGATAGCTGGTAATAAAGATCCACTGACAACCAAGTAGATAGTACTCAATTAACTGGATAAAAAGCCTGATTTGGTGTAACATAGCTTTCTATATACTATGCTTCTCTGCACCAACAAACAAGAATCACAACATGAGTATTTTTTTAAAAAAATCACTTGCCAATGTTAAGGAATACATAGTATGTACAGATACTTGCTCCAGACTACTATACTGTATTTGCCAAGCATATTGTCTCTGAAGATCTCAAGCTGAAATGCATAAAACTCAAACTATGACTTCAAAACCCTATAAATCTTTACAACATCTTAAGTACTGTAGTTTGAGTCTGTGAGGTCCATCACTGCTGACATTTATCCCTGAAGGGTTAATTTCAGTGTGGGATCAGATAACCTTATCAATCACATCAAAGTTCATCTGGATATCAAGGTGTAAGCTGTTTCATTGTTTAAATTTCTCTTTTCTTCAGATGATGAGAAAAAGCCATTTTTACACTTATGGGAAAGCAAGTTTATTGAGACATTCACCTCTTATTCATTTTGCTGTTTCCACGTACAAAAATGACTTCAGGAGACATTAGCTTGTCTATTTTTACAAGTTTTATTCATCTAATTGCTTCTATATTCCATACATATGAAATATAGTCCAAAATTATTGAAAACATAACACTTGGAAGTTACAGGTATATTTACCTCATCTGACAAAAAACAGTTTTATAGCTATAAGAAAAGCTGTAGGTACAAGTGCTTAAATCATGTTCAAACATTTAAAATGCTTACAACTATGGAAAGTTGCAAACAAAAAAACAGTCAAAATATATAAAAGCAAAATTCAAGTTGCAACAAGTACTTAAGTCATGATTCAAAAAAGTTTCAAAATAGAAGAAAGGTTAAAAAAATCACACAGCTACAAAAGTTATAGACCTGAGCTTAATTCATGTTATAATCATGCCTCAAAATCAGGAGTACAAGTACAATAGTAATACCAAAAAGAATGTTTTAATTACATTTTTAAAATGCAAGTGCTTAGTCTTAAAGGCACAATAAAAAAGCAGGGAGTACACCTCTAAAAGTTATTGAAGTTTTCAAAAGCAAAAATATATAAAAATAAAACCTATTACCTAGCCTTTTAACATACTTGCACAGAACTGTGCTTTAACCAGCCATAGCCAGTTTCTTTCATGGATGCTAGGTCGTCCTTCCCCTTGCTTGTTCTGCCTTTGTGCCTGCCTTAGATGTTGTGTTGCTGGACTCATGCTACATGTTGTGTGATGGTCTCAGGGCTGCCAGTGCTCCTTGGTGTCTGATATCTATGTTGCTGGGTTTTGCTTCCTGCTTAACAGTTAACTGTTTCACTATGTATATTTATACTTTTCTCATATGTTTGGATTTTCTTATCAAAGTTTACATCCTTATGCTCCACTGGCAGCTTAAGATGATGATCTAATAACATAGTGATTCATTTACCTTGCGAGGCGAATCTTACTTTACACTGACCTTGCTTTCTCTGTGATCCTCTAATATAGCTGCATGCTAAATATATAGACAGCTAAGTCAGGGATCTAGCATATATGTGAATGACTTAGTAAAGTTTCTACTCTGAATGCAGTCTCCTTGTTAGCCATATTAGCTTTATTTTGTTATGACTCTTGCTAAGTAAGGCTGCTGGCAAAGCAAATGGCTTCATATGGAGAGCTGGCTGATTGTCCTGCAGTGACCTTTAGCATGCTGCAGTTCAAAATTATTTTCTGAGCACACATGTACATTTTCAGGCTTGCATTTTGTACATCCCCTTATTATTTTAACACTCTATGCATACATAATATCAAACTTTGACAGAGACACTAAGACCTTGGTACAAAACATTCTCAAGCTCTTCTGCCTGTAATCTCTTCATCGAGTATCATCTGACCAATAAATAAAAAGTTTGACAACAAACAGATACTTTTACAGAACACAGAACAAGATGTGGAAGAGATAAGGAATGCCTTTCAATTTATGAAAACATTTCATTTTTTCAGATGCCCATGAAGATCAAAATGAATGATCAGTATAAGGACTAGGAGCCACATGGCACAGTGGTTATTGCAGTACTGCAATTTTAAAACTCTGCTCATGACCTGAGTTTGCAACTGGGCTCAGGAAGCTGGCTCAAGGTTGACTCAGCCTTCCATCTTTCCAAGCTTGATAAACTGAGTACCCAACTCGATAAGTAGGTGGAATGTGTAACATGCATAATTAAATTGCAAACCGCCCAGAGAGTGTTTTAAGCAGCACACCTTGCTTTAACTACAGATTTTTAACACTGACCAGAGTGAGGGTAGGCAGAATGAATATTTCATAACTATTTTTGCATCTGACTTCAGGCTGATGGACCTCAGGATTCTAGTAAGAAAACAGATCCTGCAAAACTTAAGTCCACTTACACATAGATCAGAGAAAGAAGCTTGAGTTACGCTAGTATTTTCAAAGATAAGTTATTCACTTCCATCACAGAAAAATAAGATGGGCTTCAAAAATATATCATTTTCTTAAAACTGCTCTGTACATGTCCCAGCCTGCTTCTCTTATATGTTTATTCAGAATTATGCCCCTTTAAGTTTAATGAGGTTCATTTTCACATCTTAAATGGACATAGATTAAGAGTATCACTTCTGTGCAATGATGGTAAAATATAGTAACTAGCTTTTAAATGAAATCCAGATTCATTGCTACTACTCCACTAACTTATGAAGGAATTATTTCCTGAATTTAAAGAAAACATTTAATCAATTTATACAAGTCTATACTGAGTTTTACATACTGTTTTAAAGACCAGAAAATGAAGAACTTTATGACATTGATCATTTTCAGCTTTCATTCCACTCCAAACCCATTTTTTCACTAGTCAATTTTTTTAACACCTAAGTTTTAGGATACCAAATCTGTTTGAACGATACACATTCGTTGAACATTAAATGGCAACAAGCGCAAAGCAAAATACAAAGGATGTGGAAAAATTAAAGAACTTTGCAGATTTAATCAAACTCACCAAAATATGGTCACTAAGGACAAACAAACAGAACTTTACTAAAGCTACTACAATATATTCCAAAATTTTTTGATTATTTCCTTTCCCCACCATACTGCATATACAGGTCTAGTTGTTGTTAATAAATCCAAGTATTGGTTCAGGCAACATTGCTGACCAGGCATTGTTCACTTAAATAAGTAGACATAAGAGATTAATTGCATTTGCAGCTGAAATATATTAGTAATTTCAATTAATCATTTACAAACCTAGTCTGTCATGTTACCATCTGCCGCGTTACCATCAGACCTTGTTATAGTGCCAACACAATTCTCCAGTCCCACAGTTGTAAATTTTAAATATGATCCAGTGGAGTTATATAACTACTCTGCTGTTATTCTGACATAATTTTCTTTACAGCTGCTGTTGTGACTCTTGTACACAAAAAAATGCCATATATAACCTTGGCTTTCAGTTTAAATTCTTATTCCATCTGACCAGATAACTGATTTACAACACTTACAAACACAAGTATGTACATATGCATTTTGGTACCATTTTATTATTAAACAGTTTCAGGACTTGGCAGTTTAGTTTTGCCCCACATGCATTCAGTGTTTCTTTTAATCATGTAAAACTGCATTCATTTCCAAATGTTGACACAATAATATTTTATTCCAAACTGGCTTACAATTTATTCATAAGATTTAACAGTATCTGAAAAGCACA